TCGGACTGCGTATTCATGCATTTTTTAAACCTCACGAAGACGCGGTTGTGATTTACTTGGACAATATTTTGGGTTCACGTGCATGTTATTACTGATCATCCCTGACGTTTTGTAAAAAGAAATCCTTGCTGTTCCTTTTTTTCGGGAAATTCGGTGAATGTTTGAGTTCATAAAGACTGCATGATCCGCTAATCTTCGATTCATTTGCTTTCATTGGTACTGCAGTATAAGAACTGTAGCTTTTTTGGGGGGTTCGTTTTGCGTATACTGTATTACCTATATTTGTTGTGCTTGTGATGTATTTCAATCCTGTGTTTTGTTGCGAACAGTATTTATTTCGTAGTGAGATCGCTGGAAACAAGTATAAGGGCAAAGAACTGTAGTTAAATATCTGATTTTTTTTTCTTTCTTCGGATTTCGGCACGAATGGGTTTTCGGCGTTTGTCTCTTCGCTCAAAATTATTCGCTAGCTGATGAAATCATCATTGATCGTTATTTTGTTTTGCAGCCGGTCAAAGTGCGAAATGCAGCCAACAGGAGCAGCAGTCTGCGTATTTTCCCGACGTCGCACGAAACCAACTCTTACTATCCCAACAGTCGAATGCGTCCGGCTGAATACCACGGATACTCGCCCTATGACACGCCTAGAAGCGAAGTCCTGTCCTCGTCATCGTCTTCGCATCTGATTGAAACGAAACGCGGTACTGGCACTGTCATCATCATCAGAGGCAACAGTGGAATGCAAGGTGAATAAAAATTGGGCATTAAGTGTCTGGTACTACCGTACTTTACGCGAATACAGGTGGACTCTCTGAACGATGTAATTCGAGGGATCCCGAAAAAAATCTCTGTGAAAATTTGTTCAGAGACTCAAGTCATCAATATATTCATTTAAATTAAATCGTTCGATCATTAGCAAATGAACCGCCGCCGTCGCCGGATGCGAAGCGTCACAGTCCCGCCGGAAGTGCATCCGTTGAGTTTGAGACGCATCACGATGGAGGACGTGTTTTTGAGAAGCGAATTGAAAGCCGGATCGTCAACAAAAAAGCGAATCCGATTTACGCGAATGGAGCTGTTTTGAAGCAGCAACAACTCTGGGCCGAAGCCCCGAAGAACTCTTCAATTCATTTTGGCCGAAATTCGAAGGTGAGTTAGTGCAAATAAGTACAGTATTGTTTAGTTGTCTGAAATTTACGGTGTCAAATAAAATTTGCAATTAATTTTCCTTTTTATTTGATGTACTTTTCCTACGCTTTGTGTTACAACAATAAATTGTGAACATTTTTATAGTGGTTTAGCAAAGGGGTAGATAACGGGAAACGTGTAATTTTTTGCTGAATAATTCAACTTATTATTATTTTGAAATGAATATTCTGCGTGAATAGTATCAAGCCTTTGTAAACGTTTAAATTGATAAATCATGTTCCTCGTGTAAGTTTAGAAAAATTATGACAACAACTTTTTGAATGCCATCTCCTTAAAGCAATTTTTAATTATTTTTCCCTTGCTCAATGACAATAATTGTAATGAACTTAATTATGCTTTTCCATACTAGGCTCATTAAGAAACAATAAAAATCGAAGTACTGTACTCTTTGGAGATTTTTTTTGTATGTCCTTCACGATGCGGAAAGAGGTAATTTAAAAAATTACAAACGGAAGAAAGCACTAATTCTTCTAGGGCACTACTCGCACATCGTTTAAAGATATTATACGAAAAAATACACAAAAGTACGTCTTTTACGCTAATAATGTCATGTCGTGTCATGAAGCTGTACAATTTTCAGAACATGCTGGACGAAAAACAAGAAGGAAGACAAATTTCATCCGTGAAGGAGTCTTCGAAGCAAAGACGATTCGTCGACGCAAGCTCAAATTCTCCCAACAGCAATCGCACAACCTTCAAACATCAAGATGGCCAATCCGGAAATCATTCGGACGATAGCAGTACAGGTACGTGAGAAAAGCAGAAGTACTTTTATGTGTATCGCATGAGAAGAGCAAAGGATGTAGTATCTTTGCCTTGAAAAATGCGCGAGGGTTGGTTCAGATGGTTTAATGTCATCAGTACATATATTCTTTCAGTACTCGTGTTTCTGTATTAGATTTCTTCTGACCTCTTAATAAATCTCTACCGAGATGAGCAGCATTCTTTAAAATGAATGTGAAGGTCTGAAAGATGATCATTTTATCTCATCAAATTTGATTATATTTCAAGTTATGATTCTATTTCGATTACATTCGACCTTTATTAATTTTCTCTTCGAGGTACCAGCAAAAACTCGAATTAAGGAACCAAGTATTTCTGTTGAGGGAATGAAAGAAAGAATACTGGAAATTGTAATTGTTGATAATGTATTCTGGGGCTGAAATTGCTTCTTGAATGAGTTGACAAGATTCCGAACTTGAAGGCAAGGATTTATTTGGCCGATCAGTCTTTCACTTTCTTTCAAAACACACCGTCACATTTCTTTTTTGCTTTTCTCTTTCTGTGTGAATAAAATAATAGCCCGAAGTCCTCCAGAAAATCTGAGTTTTAGTGGTTTGAGGAGGAAAACCTTGTATGAGTTATAAATAAATTGTTCGTTTCGAAGAGCATTCAAACAGGGAGGCATTGACTTGAGGTTCGAGGCTCAACTTGATTCATATTGTTTTTGTCCTTGTTCATTTTAGGCGATCGTTCGACAGAAGATTACAACAGCAGTAGCAGTGATGCGTCAGTTGGCAAAGTGCGCATTAAAATCGGAGATCGAGGGGCAGTGATTAAAGGAAGTGCGACGAATGCGTCTGAACACGAACGCAGTACAAGAAGACCCCCGACAGAAGCCCGACCAGAACCTACTGGTGCCTCCACAGATGGCTCTGCTTGCAACACTTCTTCGGCTACTGAAGAAGATGAGGAAGAAGCCGTCGAGGAAGACGAGGACGACGTCGGAAACGCGTTCAAGGAAGCTGAGGCTCAAGCACACAGCTCTGACTTCGTTGGTAAGTGTACATCTTATTGATTCAGGCCGTAAAATGTTTTGTTTTTGAATGACACTACAGTAAAATTTCTTCACGACTAACTCATCGTGAGGACTTCAGAAAAAAGTTTGTCATCACGAATAATTTTTTATAACGAGATTTTCTAAATTATTGACGAGAAGATTTTTAAAATTAAACCTGCACATATTCAACATCTTCCTTTTGTGGCCTTTTTGGATGCTTATCAGTGTTTGAAAAATTGTGATCTTCAAAAAAAAATTTACAGTACTTTGAATAACAAGTTAACTTCATCATTTTTTTTAAATTCAAGTTTTTCTAAGCAATTCCTGCATCGATTTGTAAGGGTGGATGTTCCAAAAAACTTACAGTTTTTTAAGCATCAGTAGGGTTTCTCAAGCATACGAACCACCTTTTAACATGAGTTTTGCTGGGTTAATTTTTTTCATGTAACACCCGTTCCCTCATCTTTCCTAACTCAGGAACAATTTTTGAAAGAGAGGATGTTCGTGTGAATTTTGACGAATTTCCGTCCTTGATTGCACATTCCATTTATGATCCAAGAACCAGTCAGATCAGTCACATTTTGAAAGGGATATTTGAGACTGTGCCTGATGCCTCATTATAGAGATTTTTCATGAGAAAATCACATGTTCCACAGAAAAGTTTGTCATACTGACATTGGAGAAGTTGTTGTAACGAGACTTGGCTATATATTTATGTCTAATACCCAAAACAGGTGTCGAGCAATCGGAAGCTTACGAGGATCAAGAATCACTTCCCTTGCAAATGCAAGATTGCGCAACGCAAACAGAATACGACGAAGACGCTGACCTCGAACCGATGTTGGACCTGGTTACCGGGGACATGATCCATCCCATTACTACCCTTTCCCATCACTCGGTCCAGCATTCTCCGCGTTCTTCGGAAAATCGGGATTCCAGTCCCGAGATTGATTGGGACTCCCCGCCGATTCACATCAACTCAAGAGCAGCCACCGTCGCGGATTCCAGCGTTTGTGAAGAAGATGATTTGGATTCGATGTTCGGTGTGGATCAAGTGGATTTCGAGGATGCGCAATCTGTGGAAGAAGAGACTGGACGATTTCAAGAAGACTATGACGGATCAACCATCAGGCGGAAACATTTCCTGAGGTGATTATAGTAGATAATTGAAGAGAATTTAAGTGATCTATACACGTTAAAAAAAACATAACTTCCGGTATGATTCACTATACGTCACTTCGCCAAGTTGCTTTTCGTAATGAATGTCAGATGACGCTTGTAGGAATCATTCTGCTGAAAAAGATGATTTTATCAAACTAACCTTGATTCTCAAAATAAAGTGTTACTGTATAATCAGACGAAGTCTTCCCCAATGCTCGTCAGAACTCAAGCGACACCTGCCCATTTTGGCATATAGAAAATCAGTGAATTGGACATTTGGTGCCCCAAGTGGGGAAATTGGTGCACACTGGGATTTGTTTGTAATTCTACACAGTGACCCTGCTGTGCACCTGAAGTGTACCTAAGTTCTTCTGTTGCACATGCATATCCCCAATGTGCACCAATTGTGTGTTCACACCAGGATTACTCAGGGTCACATTTGTAAACTCNTAAACTCATAAGTTACGCCAAGGTTACAGTTGGTGCATTTGTGTGATGCTCCTGTTATTTCACATTTGTGCACCAAGTGTAACCCTGGAATGGTAGCAAAATTTCCTCTGCAGGAGTGCACACTTGTACCCCCAGAATATCCCATATGCACTAGTTGTGACCCTGATGTGCACCTACTGTGGGGTCACAGCAAAAATAGCTCCCCACTCAGATGTTGATGTTGAAATTTAATATTTTTAAACGCTTCCTGCCTATTCTTCAATCGTGATTAGAAAACAGTGAGGGGATGATATTGGAGAAGGTAAAACCGGACTGAGGGGATGATATTGGAGAAGGTAAAACCGGACTGAGGGGATAATAGGATCAACTACTGAATTTCCACTTTTTAAAACTAAATTTCGAATGCCTTCCAATTCATTCCTTATTGGTCCCGATTTATCTCGACTTGACTTTCACGCATGTCTACCAGGTGTCGCCTGAAAGAAAAAGCTGATCTCTGTTGGCCAGGTTTGAATCCAATCTTATTCTCTCAAACTGGGCGCAAACTTACACATTTTAAAAAGCTTTGCCTCACGTAAATCCAGCATTACAGTATGCAAGCGACCCTTTGATTTGAATCGCATAAAAAGCCGCGGATATGGTGTGATGCAATTGGAAGATTCCAATGTTCGAAATTTTAAAAACTACTGTGGGAGCCTCCAAAGGAAGCGTGATTCAAATTCCAGAAGTATTCAAAAACTGAGAAAGATGACAGATTTTCTATGCTACAAATGAACTTATACAGCATATATTTCAAAAATCCTGTCGAAAAATTCAACTAGTCGTTTTTATATATATTTTTTTAATATTTTATTTTAGACTGGCCCCAGCAACCCAGGAAGTGGATGCCAGGATCGGTTCGGAGACGGAAGCAGATTTTCTAGACAGAGATGTTGACTTTGATGCTGGCTCGAGCCCCGTGGAACATCCAGTTGAACCTGCTGTCGATTACGATGACGTGGACCCGGAAGAACAGATTCCGAATCAGGAAGTGGCTCAATACTTCGACAATGAGGCTGAAGCTTCTTTGCATTTCGGACAAGAAGACGCATCCTTTGATTCCCAGGATGAAGCAGAAAAGTGAGTTGAATTAACTTGGTTGGGATTTATTGTTTGACTTTCAATATCAAGTGTGCATAATACTGATGTAATCTTGGAGCTGTTCTTTAAATATTGTGCTGCTACTTAATTATCTACATAGAAAGCACATTCGGTGAACAAAAACTAGGAATTATTTAAAAACTCGAGATTTATGCGCAAATTTTCCAAACTTCAAACTTTGAAGAATAATGAAGGTTGGTTCAAGTGAACTTTTTTGTCGGTGTTTTGTTCCCATGTTGAGTTTTTTTTTTTGCGATATATGCTGGGATAGACATATATTGTAAAGAGCAAAATAAAATGTTCCCTAACCAACAAATGCAATATTCCAAGTATTCCTTTCCATGATTCGAATGAAGATAAATCTTATTTATGTTTGTGAAACAGTCACTGCAATTAGAATGAAAGCCATTATTTTCCAATGCAAAAATTTTTTGGATTTTGGAATTTTTAATTTTATGCAGCATATATTTGCAGGATTTGAATTTGGCTACCAAGAAGCTTCTCGAGTCAGAGTTTCACAGTAATTGAAGAAAATCTTTAGCCTTTTTATTGAAGGCTAGCCTTGAATTTTCGTACTTATTCCATAGTTGTTTCTAGGAGTCTGACTTGAATGCTTCGGGATATCTGGAAAACTTGATTCAGATTAACTACTAAGAACTATTGTTATTGTATTATCCTTCTTTTGCAAACTGAATTCAGGAAATTTTAATCAGAAGACATTTCTCGCTAGAATTTTTTTTAATTCTTACCTTCTTGCCGTAGGAGTGCGTTTATATTCAGCTTTATTCTTGGCATTCATTCAAGAATGAGAATATTTAAGTGGCTCTGAAAATTTTGCACTAGAACACCAATCTGAATTTTCTGTAGATAATTTTATATCTGCCATCTATGGCGTTTCTGAGTATAATCGTGAATTTCCCAAGAACTCTCCTTCGGTAAAGTCCTCTTGAGTAAATTGTTTAATGTACAGTAATTCCACGAACTGTATCTTCATGAGTTGCAAGGATATACTCGTTGCAATAAGAACCTCCATCCATCCAACTTCTCTCAGGTGCGGAGCAGCAGAATCGGAGGACGAGAATCGCCCCAAACCAGCCCTAGATGTCGCGAGGAACCCTCCGCCACCAATTCCGCCTCAACCTCCGTTGGTCATCCGCAAGCCGCGTGCCCCCGGGCTCGGGCCACCGCCTCCACCTCCACTGTCCGCCGCCGCCGCACGCGGGCCGCCGACCGCCATCATTAAAGACACCGCCGAGAAGGACACAGACTCGCCTCAACCGGCAGACAGGTGTCCTCGCACCGAGAGAGACGCAGCTGCGGACGAGCGGCCCGGACGACTAGCGCAGGTGAGCACGCATTGCTATCACTTCAGTTGACCCGTGTATTCCGCGTCGCGCGAACGGTTCCCTCTCTGTGTTGCTTAACGTTGTTGTGCGCGAGTTACGCAGTGTGTGTGATTGTGGGGAGACTGGAGAGGGATTCTATAGCATACTGGAGGAGAACGGAAAGAGAGGCGAGAGAAAAAGAAAAAACAACAGTCCAACTTGTGTAACCGAAAGGCTGTTGAGAGGGGGCATAAGAGAGAAAAACGCGGCTTCAACTTCGCCCTCCCAGCACCGACCAACCAACCCTCGGCCCCATTGTGTGCGCGTTGGTTAAGTGGATTCCGGCGACCGAATGAACACCAACGTTTCTCGTTCACCTGTGTCAACCTCTCTTTCTCTCCCTCTCTTTTCACAATTGCCAGTGTTCCGTGTAACCGACCAACGAAATTCTACTGTTTCTGCGTCTCTATATAGGGGGGGTCCACGTGTACGTGCAAAACGTACTGCAGACAGGGGTAACCTAGATAAGCTATAGGACTTTGCTAATGGTGGTACTGTACTCTTCGTTTAGTGTTTTCCACCCCAGTGTGATGAAGTGGTACGAAAAGTGCAGGAAAACGTTGCTTGAAGACGTAAGAGCAAATTTTTTCGGAAATTTGGCTCGGGCTCTAATGATGGACTGACTTCCAAAAGTCAAGTGTACAGTATTTTTTAATTTGAAGCGAAGCTTGACTGAAAATATTGGTTACGAAAGTCACTCCTACATTTCTAAACGCCGATACCAATTTATGCTCACTCGGACGATTGAAATTGAAGGAAAATACGTGGTTTTACACGTTAGCACTAACACAGGCTCAAAACTTGATTCACTTATTGCCAATTTCCAGACAGGCTTAGTGTTGCCAAATAGTCTGACTATTTAGCAACAATGGACACATTTTCCGAGAGAAAATTGCCCAGCTCAGACGACCATGTTCCTCAGCGAAATGTTTTCCTATACTGTACTGCATTTTTTTAGTTGGTGTTACTGAGCGTGGAAATGTTACTTAAATGCCTGAAAATTGACGAGCGGTTCATAGTGTACGATTAGGTAGTCCATCGATTTAAAATCTAGAATTTGAGCTAGTCTAAGGTAAAAAAAAAATCATCAGGACAATGCAGGAGTGTCTAAAAGTTTTGTATTCCGGAGAGAGTTGTGTTTTTACGTACTTCCGCGTTATTATGTCGAGTTTGAGATGCTGAAGGGTTTATTTTCGCCAAGGAATCTTTCACGTCTCTCATTTTTTTGAAAATTTTGATGATATTTCTGTAATAATGAAAGAATTCCAACCCACAACCCTGGCAGTTCAATTCATTTTTTTTTCAATGAATAGACAATTTGAAATTGTGTTGGAAGTACTGTATTTCTTTTTTCAGAAATATGCTGACGAGTTTTTGTGAGCAAACTTGGAAAGGATTTCTTTTAAAATTTACCTGAATGAGAGAGAAATGGTCGATGTGAATTGTAACAGGACACATGATTGAACTCTGAGTCATTTTATCTTGAAGATTGATTCAAGGTCTTGGAATCTACCGAAGCAATGAATCGGTTTTAAATAAAGGATAGAATCGATCGGCTGCTGATCACACGATCACGTGGAATTAATATTGTGATAAGAAATACTGTACTGAACCTTTCGCAATATCTGAACGAAGTAATTGCTTTTCCGCCCAGTTATCGAATTTCTTGGCAATAATTTTTCAAGAAAATCGTCACACAGTTTTTTTAGATTAACGTGATTATGGAACTATTGTTTTCTGTGTTTTCAATTGAATAGATTTCAAATCAACGAACGCTTGTCATCCGATTATATAATTGTAAACTGATGATGGGAATCAACCACGCATTCTTGTCTGTTCCAAGAAACGCCTGATACGTCCGACAACTTGTAGACCAAGTTATATACAGTATATATGAAAAAAAAACATTATTACAGTACAACTGTTTCGTTGACATTTCCTCATTTATAATTCTGAGCAGTATCCAAGGTTTTACAAGACTTGACTCGCTTGTAATTTGATATTCTTCTGAATCGGACTCGATCGATTCTTGGTGATGCGTAGACTTCGCCAGAACTGGTTTTCTGGTTGATAATCAACTTTTTATTACCCTTGATGATTGAAGTGCGAATAACTTCTTCCAACTTGTACAAGGAAACGTCTTCGTCGCAGATTAGTTTCCATTTCCTAGCAAAGGCCGTGATGAGTTTCGATTGGATATGGAAGAAGTCTGTGTAAAAAAAAAAAAGTGGTGGAAATCAAAGTCAGGATTTTGTATAACTTCTCTAATTTATAAGATTGGAAAAAAGTGACGAGTTCAGATGAAAGATATACAGTAGTCGATATGCGACGGAATTTTAGTGAAAACTTCATTCGAGAAGTGGCTTTTTAAAGAAAATTCAAAGTGTCGACATTCGACAGGATTTCGAGTTCAATACTACAGTATTTTAATTTGGCAACTGGCCTACTCTCTTCGAATAAGAATGAAGACGTGTTTCTAAAATTGTATCTGGTGCTTGAGGGTAAGTGAAAGAAACGTGGAAGCAACTTTTTCTCATCTAAAAGAATAAGAGTTGAGGAGTCGTGAAACTTTTTTTGAGACCAGTTTGACACGAATCGTATTTTTCTTCATACTTCATTATGTGGAGAAAATGTGATATTTGTGAGTACGGTAGATTGTCCTGTTTACGCGTGACTTCAACTTCCATTCAAGCATTCCGCTAATCAGTATTTTGCATTGTGTTCGTCCAACAATTTTATTTTTCACAGTACATTTTAAAATAGGTGTTAGATCTGTTTTGAAATACAGTATCAGTAAATGTTGCGATGTTTTTAAAGAATAAATTTAAATGTTTTCTGGTCCACCTTGTAAAATCGGATCAGTTCCAAGAACATTTTGAAAGAATGCGGAACATGTTCTGGGCTCATTCTCAAGTACTCCACTGTACTACAATATAAAAGTTCCGTTTAGAATTTTACTGCCCATTTTCAGCTCGTTTATTCCCCTAAAAAAAATTAAAGATTCCTCTCAAGTGAAGGACAAGAAGCTTTTTCCGAGAGCTTCGCAGAAAACTACGTGACCTCGGTGTTCCACTCACACAAGCCTTAATGCTTGGTCTCCCAAGCAAACTAAAAGCTATTCTTACACGTTTCCATAATTTTTCCGGTGAGATAATCCCACATATTATATCAGTCCCTTGCTTACAGTAGTTTTCTTGTTCGACTTTTTTCCATTGCGTGAGTGACAAAAATTGAATCAACGGTAAAAGCGTTCGGTATTGGGAAAATTTTAAAAATGAATTCTGGTTGTCTGAATGAATCTTTTCTGGGGGAATCTTTTCGGACTGTCGACTATTGACTTGTTGAAAAACACTGCTGTCTCAAAATCGTGTCATTTAACCCCCCCAGCGAAAATCACGCGGTTTGCAAACTATCAAGAAAACGTTGTAAACTGTGGGTGACAAGAAAAGCACATCGGCAGAAATTACCCTGGGCAAAAACCAGGGAACAATGTTTTCTGATGCGAAGTGGAATTCGAGGTTGACACCCGCATTATGTCAACCTCTGTATAAAGACGATTTTTAGCATGCCATAATGCAACAAAATACCAGGTTAAATTGGTGAAATAATTGGATTATCCTATTAATTTCTGCTGGTTGTTCAGGGTACCTTTCTTCTGGGGGATATTTGTCTGTAAGTTTTCCCTCTGACCCAGTAATTTTTTTCGTACCTTGGAATTTCGATTGATCGAATTTCGTTCTGGTGTTGATTTTTCTAAAAAAAAATAAAATAAACAGTCAGGTAGCTATGGAATTTTCTCATGAATTTGTTTTTCAATTCGAAAACGCACGATGTTTTACTTGATTTAAGCACTCAGAGTGCTGTAAAGCAACATTTGTACTGTACCTTGTTTCGTAAAATGTTGTATTTTATTGATAAAGAGGCAGTAAGCCCCCAATTTGTAAAATGTCCGATGCGATTCTCGTTTGAATTTTCCCACCGGGGTCTTTTCGTCGGATGGCTTTCCTCCTGTCACACCTTTCAAATAGTCCCGTGAGAAAAACGTCACGCGTTTCCAAACTACGCTAGCCTCCTTTTCCCCCTTCAGTTAATTCAACCAACGGTTAATTTTTTTCCTCCTTCCTCTCGGAAATGCGGCAAGTAATGAAGTGAAAGTGGATTTTTTTTATACTAAATTCGTGTCGCGTGTTGTGCGTGGCTCTTGAGCCATTTGAAAATTCAAGTGACGAGAGCCGGAACAAAATAAAGTGAGACGCTGATAATTAAGACTGTGAAATGATTGAGAAAACTTCGACAGTCACTTCCGGTCGCGGTGTGACAGTTGTGAACCTTCTCAAACGACAGGTGATTAAAATAATATTAAGTCGAATTCTCTAAATTACTTTCACTAATTTTTTTTAATGTTCATGGGTTACATCCGTCTTCGTGAAATGTAGGATTCGTCGAGTGATTGTGGAAATGCTTTTTCTCCGAGTACTTGCACGTGCTTTTTATGAACGGATAAGTGCAGAAATGTGGGGAATGATTTGCTGAATTATCGAACCCGATTTTTTTTTCAGTGCTGTGGAGAGCGAAGTCGTTAGTACGGGATGTAGAAATAAATTTAAACTGACAGGAGATGATTTCTTTTGGAGGGTATCAATTATCCTTCAGAAAATTTAAACTTGACAAGTACCGAAGCGCATTGTTTCCGTGTCTTAAATGTTCGTACTTGGGTTCGGAAAATATTATTCAAAAAATATAAATTCGACGGCTTTTCGAACATGTGGGAGAATGTAGTGAACCGGAAGCACGTTTGCAAAGAATTTTGTAACAAAATGCCAAGCGTCATAAGGAAGTCTGTAATTTTTGCTCGTTTTCATCATGGGTTTTTTTTTTAATGTCATTATTCTTCTTTACATGCTTCACGGGAAAATGCGGGATGCAACTTTCAAATGAACCCACTGACCCACTAAACGACAATCGTGTTCAGAAACAATTACTACAGATTG